AAAACAACTTGTGTGCCAGCCAGCAAACAGCATGTTCTCAGTTCTCTGCCATTGAGTCAATGCTGACTCTTAGCAACACTGTAGCATAAAGACTGGCATTTCCCCCTGTGGAAACGTTTCCAAGATGGGGAGTAGACAGCCTCTTTGTTGTCCCTCGGGTTAGCTGGTGGTTTCAAACTGATGACCTTGTGGTTAGCAGCCCAGTACGTAACCTACCACATCACCAGGGCTCAGAAAACAGCAATGTCCTGATGAACAAAGAGCCACTGGTCCCTGCTGTATTGTGAAGAGGGGTAGATAATCAAGTAATAATAAAGTATGATAAAAGATTGGGATGGGTGGCCGCATCTACTGTGAGAATACAGACCATTCTCAGCAACCAGACTGTCGACATTCCAGAGAATGTGGACATTTCCCTGAAGGGGCGCACGGTCATCATCAAGGGCCCCAGAGAGAACTCAGCCTCCTTGGGAAGAAGAAGAGGCTTCGAGTTGACAAATAGTGGGGAACTAGAAAGGAACTGGCTACTGTCCGCACGATCTGTAGTCACGTATAGAACGTGATCACGGGTGTGACACTGGGCTTCCGATACGAGACAAGGTCTGTGTGTACCTACTTCCCCATCAACCTGGTTATTCAGGAGAATGGGTCTCTTGTGGAAATCCGTAATTTCTTGGGTGCAAAATACATCCAGAGGGTTCGCATGAGGACAGGTGTTGCCTGTTCCCTTTCTCAAGCCCAGAAAGATGAGTTAGTTCTTGAAGGAAACGACATTGAGCTTGTATCAAATTCAGCTGCTTTAATCCAGCAAGCCACAACAGTTAAAAACAAGGATATCCGGAAGTTTTGGGATGGTCTCTATGTTTCTGAAAAAGGAACAGTTCAGCAGGCTGATGAGTAAGTTCTAAGAGGTGTCCAGCTACAGTCTAGATGATTCTTTTAGACTTTCTGTGATGCTTTGATCCAATCCAATAAAGCTTATGTAATGAAGAAAAAAGATTGGGTTGGGTATAGCATAGTGGTTATTCGTTGGGCTGCTAACTGCAAGGTCAGCCATTGGACACTACCAGCTGCTCCTCTGGAGAAAGATGTAGTTTTCTACTCCTATAAAGAGGTACAATCTCAGAAACTCACAGGGGCAGTTCTACCCAGCCCTATAGGGTTGGTATGAATCAGAAATCGATAGCAGTGAATTCTGAAATGCATTCATTTAAGAAGTGAAATTTGTGGGGGAAAGAAATGAAATTTAGGTTGAAACCTAAAGTAAAGAATGAGACCAGTAAGCCCGCCATTATCCCTGAACGACGCAGTTTGTGTGGAACTACTAAAGGTTGGTGATTTGAGCCCACCCACCAGCACCAGGGAAGAAAGACCTGGCAAACTGCTCCCATTCAGACTGCTATTGTGTGCTATCAAGTTGACTCACACAATCCCTTATGACACAGAGGTTCCCAGGCTGGGATCTGATGTTGTAGTGGACTATCCATTGAACTATTAACCACAGGTTCAGCTGTTCTAACCCACAAGTCAATCCTTGGGAGAAGAGAGGCTATCAGCTCTGTAAAGATTTAAAATCTCCGAAAGGGCAGTGCTACTATGCTTGATAGAGTGTTAGTTGAACCGAACTGGATGGCAGTGAGGTTTTTAAAAAGCAATAGTATTTGTGGAGCAAATCATCGGGTCTTCTCCCCCACAGAGCAGCTGATGGGTTCAAACCAGAGTATGTAAGCATTGGGCCACTAGCGTGCTTGCTGATCCATTAAGATTATTGTCACGCAAACCCCATTCAGCAGTTCTACTTGGAAGCCCCCAGTCAGTGGCAATATGTTTGGGTTGGGCTATAGGGTCATATCCTCCCACTCTAGGACTAAGAGAGGTCCCGAAAT